GTATCTTTGTCGTAGGGTTAGGGGAGGGTTACGGCAGGGTGGTGTGTCTTTGTGGTATGGTTAGTGGAGGGTTACGGCAGGGTGGTGTGTCTTTGTCGTATGGTTAGGGGAGGGTTACGGCAGGGTGGTGTGTCTTTGTGGTATGGTTAGTGGAGGGTTACGGCAGGGTGGTGTGTCTTTGTCGTATGGTTAGGGGAGGGTTACGGCAGGGTGGTGTGTCTTTGTGGTATGGTTAGTGGAGGGTTACGGCAGGGTGGTGTGTCTTTGTCGTATGGTTAGGGGAGGGTTACGGCAGGGTGGTGTGTCTTTGTGGTATGGTTAGTGGAGGGTTACGGCAGGGTGGTGTGTCTTTCTCGTATGGTTAGGGTAGGGTTACGGCAGGGTGGTGTGTCTTTGTCGTATGGTTAGGGGAGGGTTACGGCAGGGTGGTGTGTCTTTGTCGTATGGTTAGGGGAGGGTTACGGCAGGGTGGTGTGTCTTTGTCGTGAAGATGGTGGAGGAATGTAGAGCGATGTGTCTTTGATATGGGGATGGGGATGGTTACGGCAGGGCGGGGGTCTTTCTCGTAGAGTTAGTGGGAGGGTTACGGCCAGGGAGGGGGAGCTTTTGTTATGGAGTTAGTGGAAAGGGGGCTGCTGTAAAATTACGCGGAAAAAAGATGACGATCGTAGAAGTAAAAAAAAATATCGTGGGGCGATGAAATCTATAGGGATATTTCTTCAGTTGCAGTGGCCAACGCGGCCGACCTCAAAGAAATGCAGCAGATGAGTCGCCACGGTGGCGACGTCGGCGATGAAGGCAGAATGGGATCGGCAGAGGACCGCATCATCAACATGCTACTGCACAAGACGCCTCTGTCTCCGTGGAGCGAGGAGCAGGAGGATGCGGCGGCAGGACGCGTGATGCATAGCTAGTGATGTTACGGGAAAGGTCAGTCGCCCGCGTGCGCACACTATACGGCACCTCTACTAGAAGAACAGAGACGACCCGCGAGGGAGAATTCTGGTTTCAGTCTGTACAAAAAAAATCTCCTGATATTTCTTATATATATATATATATATATACGCGCGTGTGTGCGGATGTGTGCGTGTGCGTGCGTATGTAAGTGTGTGTGTGTGTGAGTGCGCGTGCTTACGCGCTTACGCGTGTGTACGTGCGTCTGTGAGTGAGCATACACGAACGTGAGCGTAAATATACGCACGTTTTCGTGTGTACGTGCGTGTGTGTATGCAAACGTACGGTTGTGTATGTGCGTGCGTGCGTATATTTGTGTGCGTGAGCGAGTGTATGGGTTCGTAGGTGTACGCATGCTTACGTGCGTGCGTTTACACGTGCGTGTGTTTCTGTATGTACGTACGTGCGTGCGTGCGTGCGTGAATGTTTGTGTGTGGGTGCGCGTGTGTGTGTTACAGACGTGCCTCTTACATTGCAGATTAGCTGATCGTCGTGCTTCACGTACCTTGACGACATGTATTTGGCAATATATATATATATATTGCAATAGTTTTCCGCATTACGATTGCTACCGCTAAACGACCTATCGTGTGCGTGTGCGTGTATGTCCGTGCGTACGTGCATACACGCATGTGCGTGCATGCGTGCATGTATGCGTGTGCGTGCATGTGTGCAGATGTATATGTGCATGCGCGCGCGCACGTATGCTCCAATGTTTACCAATAATTTAACTGCCGGTATCTACCAGTAAGAACGCGACCAATCTCCTAGCTTGTCACGTGATTAGCCTATAGTAGCCTATCACGTAATTAATCCGAAGCTTTCCTACGGCGTGCTAGAATTAGTATTTCTATGTCAGATGAAGCACAAACCTCGCATTGGATATCTATCGTGGCCCTTCGTCATGTTGCTTCAGCCAAACATCACTAAAATCAAACCATTCCTTAAAGCTGCGTACTTAGAATGCATACGGCGTGTGTGTGCTTCCTTACATGTAGAAGCGACTTCTTAAGAGTCTGACTCGATGCACTCTACTTGATAGATCGACCGCCTACGCAATGTCAGTTGCAACTATTCGAAACTAGCGCTTGCATGATCATTTCTCAGTGATGTCATCCGGGCATTTGACCGATGCGTGCGTCATCGCCGTCGTATAGCCTTAATCCCCTTATATCCCATAATCGACTTATGGTGCATCTGTAGTATGGACGATGAACCCTTGGGCCAGCGCTATAGAAATAACATACGCAGAAACAAAATTTCACGAACGAATTTCAGTGTTAAAAATCGAGTGATTCTTCCTATTGCCACTAGGCGGCACGCGAGTGCTAGCGCGATGAAATTCGAACTGTTGCTACGGCGATCGGGCGTCGGCAGATGTTTAACTCGATATCACGTGCATGTTATCGACGTTTACACTTGTTCGTTTTTCGTTGTTATTTAGAGAAAGACGATTCGGCTTCGGACTATAAGATTATCCACGTATTTTCATGTTAATATTTTCGTATAAAACGCGTGGGTAGCGACCGGGTGTTCCACTTCCTGTTCCGCTCAGCGCTCGCTATTTATCGTCGACTAACCGGAACTCTTCCGTTAGAAATATAGCCTGTCATGGACGATGTCCTGCGCGTGCGCTCTGACACATTCCCCGAAATTCCCTGCAGAAATATGCTGTTGATTCTGTTCGATACATCGGCCTGTTAGAAACTAAGAGTTGTCATATATCGCAGTCGCGGGCCGCATAAATCACAATAGGTATATTACATAATAATTAAAGCAATCGCTATCTTTGCCCTTATCACGCGCTCTTTCCCCAGCGGGGTAGGGTTATAGTGTTCATAATTCATAAACGAATGATATCTGTTACTAGGCTATAGATCAGCAGCATCGTCCGCAGGACTGTTACGACACACAGCGGACGCGAATTATATAGAATGTATAGGAGCATTCCGCGAAGCGTAATGGTTTACCGTACGCAATTAAGTGTGCATTTGTTGTCGTGCGAGAAACTCATCTATAGAGAGTTTTGCCTGTTCATGACGTCACTCAAAATAAATGCGCAAACAGTTTCAAAGTTGTGGTTTCGTCTCTAATATACGGCTACGCACTTGCAAACACGCGCGCGCACACACACAGACACACACACACACACACACACACACACACACACACACACACACACACACACACAAACACACCAGCACACACACACACGATTCACAGGGGCGGATCCAGGCGCTGAAGCTAGACCAGTAATTTTTTCCAGATTTCAATCGCCGCAAAAAGGGCACACCCCGCGCAACAGTGGGCGCCGTCAGGAGCGGAAAACATGGCGGGGGGCTGGGGACCTCCCGCGGCAGGAAATTTCAAATTCTCAACGGGTCCCTGGGCACAAAATTGAGGCACCATTTTGAGCAACACTATTTCGTCAGAGCAGCAAGTAGCTAAAACACATACAAGTGGATTTATATTTGGCTCATTTTTTCACCTGCGCTTTGCCATACCAGCAATTAATGCAGACATGATTCAACCACTTTCCCTTCTTTTTTTCAGATATCCAAAGCTAGTTTTTTTTACCAATGTAAAAATTTTGGATTTCCTTTAAGTCCTGTCAAATGAACGCAGCAAGAAAAAGAGAAACAAATAAAGAATATAGCCAAATTGCCATCAAAATTGTTTTCTGTATTTTTTAAGCGCAAAATTATCGAAGGAGCAGCTTTGAAATCTCAGACGCGTAATTTCCACTCACGGCACAATACGGTTCTGAAATCCGCGCCCTGCCACCACACACACACTCACACATACACAACCAGCGCGACACACCACACACAGCAGCAATCACACACAGCAGCACACACACACACAACACACACAACACAGATAGCATATACACATCAACACATACGCGCGCCGCACTAATATTTTCTCAATTTGCTTTCTACACGTATATTCTATATGTAATAGTATATATATATATATATATATATATATATATATATATATAGTCGTTATACATGCCAATGATGTGGGCAGTGGATAGCGGTAGGGGGTGGGCGTTTTCCGGGATACGGTGGCAGCATGCGAGTCATCCATGTCCTGATGCATGCATGCGGCAGGCGGCTCTATCAATGCTACCGTCGGCCGCTGAGGCTGTGGGGCGACCAGCAGCTCCGCTTGGCATTCCGATGTCTCATAATTATACTGCGCATAGTACAAATAGGAAATACTTCAACACAATCGATGCTTCCAGCCGCTTCTATGAGATGTCTCGCCTGGAACCGTGCGGGTTAAACAGTTTGCATAGCGCACAGACAAGCGCACGGCACACGCGACGCACGCGCGCCGCCAACACATGCACCGCAACGCACGCACAGCGCGACGCACGGCACAATGTCAACGCGCTACGGCGATGAGAATGAAATTGCCAATCGAACGACAGAAAGTGTTGTTTACACTTGTCATTTCAGTTTTTAGGTGAGAACGGTACCCGCATACTGTGCGCGACATATGGGTCCGGGTAGCTGTAGGGGGCCGTGCGCGGCGCCGGCGTGTGGTGTGTGGTGCGTGTGGTGTGTGTGTGTGTGTGTGTGGTGTGTGTGTGTGTGTGTGTGCTTCGTGTGTGTGTGTGCGCGCGCGCGGCGCTGAGTGCTTAGTGAAGTGTGTATGAGGCATGTCTATGCTTGGCGTTCCGTGCGTGGCAGCGTGCGTGCGTGCTCTCGTTTGTGTGTGCGTAAGTGGTAGTGTGCGTACACGTGCCGTTCGTGTGCGTTCGTGCTGCGTGCGTGAGTCCCGTCTGCTGTAGCTGTTATAATAATTAGACTAGCGACTGTCTTACCGAAAACGAGCCCATAAGCTTCTTCATTTACTGCATGCGGATTACAATAAGAGTCTTTCACGCGCCTCGTATTTATTCTTTATAGATACAGACTAAGACCATCAACTTTATTCTAGGTATTATATTAATAGGATTGCTAGGTTATCATTGGCGGAATTGCTATGACCTCTACGGCGCTTGCAGTGAGCGTTACGATCACAATTTTGTCCGCGCGGTATGATCTTGCTAGAGCATTTCACGGCTCACGACGCGAATTATCGGCTCTCAAAGAATTACCTCCTTGCCTTTGTAGAGCGCCGTCGTCCGTGGCGTCGGTGTGGTGGTGAGGGCCGGTGTGTTCTGTGGTACACTCGATACGCGGGCAAGATCTCTAATCTAGTCGGCAGTGAGTAGATCATACGTCTGTCCCCTTTATCTACTATATAGGTCCCAGAAGCTCGTTTATAACTGGTGCGCTGTCACTCTCTCTTTCTCTCTTTCTCTCTTTGTTCTCTCTCTCTCTCCCTCCTCTTCTCTCTCATGTCTCTCTGTCCTGCTCTCTCCGGCTCTCTCTACCTCTCTCACACACCCGTGTGACAAAGCCGGCCAAGGCCGTTCATATCTAGCCTGCTCGTGTTCTCGTCTCCTCCTCTCCTCTCGACTCATCTCTCTCTCTCTGCGTCTGCGATGTCTCCTCTCTCACCTGCTGGCTCTCTCTCAGCTGTCTCTCCTCGTCTCTCTCTCTCTCTCTCTCGTCTCGTCCTCTCTCTTCTCTGCTCTCTCTTTCTATCTCCCTCCCTCCCCCTCTTCCCTCCTCTTTCTGTTTCTTCTCTCCCCTCTCTCTTTCTCCCGTCTCCCTTCTTAATTCCCTTTCTTGACAACGCCTCTCTCTTCCTCTCGCCCCTCAATCACGTCTTTCAAACACACACACACCACACACACACACACACAGTCACACGACACACACACACTCACACACAGAGCAACACACACACGCACCGCACACACACACACACACACTCTCAGCTCTGCGTCTCTCATCTCTATCTGCTCTTCTCTCTATCTATCTATCTATCCTATCTAATTTTATCTATCTATCTATCTATCTTCTATCATTTAATCTATCTATTTTTCGCTATAATATCTATCTATCTATCTATTCTATCTATCCTATCTATCTATCTATCTATCTATCTAATCTATCTATCTATCTATGCGTAGGTATATCTATCATATCTATCTAATCTATCCTATGTCGCCTATCTATCTAATTTATGATATCTATCGCTATCTATTTATCTATCTAAGTGCTAGTCGTATCTATCTATCACGTATCTATTCTAATCTATCTAATCATAAGGTCTAATCTATGCGTATTTAATCTATCTAACATCTATCTATCTAATCTATCTAACTATGCTATCTACTGATACTATCACTTATATATCTAGTCTCTAACCTCTCGCTCTCGCTCTTGCTCGCGCGGCCCTCTCTACTTTTTCGTCCGTCACGTCTATTTAGTATTCTTACCTTGTCATGCCGCAAACCTGGCCCGAACAATTTCAACGGGCCTCTCTCAGTCGGTTTCTCGTCGGGTCTCTCTGACATCAGGTCGAAGCTGCTAGCGTCGACGACAAAGATGACGGCGTGTACCCCTTCAACATGTAGATCCACTTGCGCGTGCTCTCGCGCGCTGCCCGCCCGACGTCCATACATCCTACACATTGCCACCGCGTACGTAAACACCAAGGGACACACGCATACACGCAACAC